ATATAGTTCTAACTTCTCCCCAAACTCTAGCATACTCCCAAGGGTCTACTGCACACCTCTTTCGCTGGAAACACTGCCTTCCCTCTCTATCCGAATAACTCTCAGATTTCTTGCAGTATAATTTGGCATTTTTCTCTCTGTTCCTTCTAGTATCACTTTAACTTAGCCTCTAGTTTTCTCTGCTTTGGTTTATTCTGTTAATAGTGTACCAATTAGGAGCCCAAACTCTTTTAAGTAGGCTTCACGCCCAGCAGAGAGCCCAGTGCAGGCCTTGAACACATGACTCTGAGATCAAGACCTGAGCTGAGATCAAGAGTCAGATGCTTAACCAACTGAGCCACCCAGGCGCCCCAAGAGCCCAAACTCTTAAAGATAGACTGTCTAGGATTGATTCTTGGCATGTCACTTAGAGCTGTACAATCTTGTCCAAGTTATATAAGGTCTTTGTGCCTTGGTTTCCATATCTGCAACGAGGATAATAATAGTTACTTGATAAGGCAAATGTATGTGTGTATATTACGTACCATGTCTGGCACGTATCAAGTGCTATATGTAACTGGTAGCTATTAATATTATAATATTTTAACTGGTCTTCCAAACTCCAGATTTGTTGACTATAATCCATCTTTTTTTTTAAAGTTTATTTATATATTTTGAGACAGACCATGAGCAGGGGAGGGACAGAGAGAGGAGAAAGAGAATCCCAGGTAGGCTCCACACTGACCGTGCAAGACTTGAACTCACAAACTGTGCGATCATGACTTGAGTTGAAATCAAGGGTCAGATGCTTAACCACTGAGCTACCTAGGCACCCCAATTATAATCCATCTTAAACACTATTTTATCAGATTCCTGTTCCAAAAGTTGCAACTTCTAAGCATAAAATCAAGGGCCAGTCTTTAATAGAACAAAAATGGACTACCTACTGTTGCTTCAAAACAAGTATACTCTCTTGAATTCAGAGCAGCCATGTCATTCAACTTCAGGGTGCAACATTCATTGCAACATGTCAAAATATCCCTATTCATGCTTTGTGATACTTCACTAAGCTGTACACTTTCCATTTTTCTGTGTTGTGTTGTACTTCAAGTTTTAAAAACTCTTCCATATGTTGTACATCAGTGTCATTTGCAGTACTTTTCAAACTTTTAAATAAACAGACTTTAAAAGTACCTTCTACATACCACAGCACGTTTTATTTTACCTAACATATAGAACAAAAATGTAAACACAAGCTAAAAGTAATGTATAATCATCTACCTGCTACTATCTATGAGATACTATCCCCTACTATTAGCAAGAAACAACCCTAAATTTAGTGAATCAAAGAGCCTCGGAACTGTGAAAGCACAGAAATAGGCAATGGCTAGTCTGACTCTGGAGGAAAACGAAACCACAAAAAGGACATCTGAATGGGTGAAAATGCTAGATCTTGTGATCCAAATACGATGAAAATAAAAGCTTAAAAAAAGAAAAAAAAATTTAAACAAAACTTCAGAGAACACATACAAGTCAGGAGAAAAAAAACCCCAGCTGAGTGAGATAATATTCAAAATGTGAATATAGAATGTGGTTTTAAATAGGTGACTATTAAGTATCTTCAGAAACTGAAAATAAGGTCAGCTTCTGAGATGAGATGAAAATACAAGTTAACAAATTAATATGAATAAATTTAATCATCTTTAAAAGTAACTTACCCTAAGAAATGATCTGTCAATAAATATGTGGCTGAAAAGACAAGAATACCTAAATACTCAGAGTGATCAAGAAGTTAAGTTTCTGAAATGCACAATTGATGTCAAAAGCAACCTGTAATAGAACCAAATATATTGAATGTAAGCCCCCAAATAAGAAAATATTCCAATCACAAAGGTATGTTTCATTTTTGGTATTGGTGGGCTTTGTGAGGATGAATACATTAACCCTTAGGACTACCCTTTTTTTTTTTTTGAGCCAATCCCATGCTAAGTAACCCTCAGAATATAATTTGGTCAATGGAGAATTTATAGAAGACAGGAATACTATGTCTCAAAAAGGCATAATCCCTACTAGAAATCCTGGCCTGGGGAAAAAAGTCCTTTTCATTCTACCAAATCCATCTGAGTGCTAACTGCTCAACCACCACATACCACTGATATGGCAATTATGGCATATAGTCTCTGTACATTGATGTGTTAGGTGTCCTCTGCTAGACTAGGTTCCTTCAAAGCAAGGACAGTCAACAATAAATATTTATTATGTATCTAATACACTCTAGGTTCTATTCTAGGTCCTGGGAAAACAATGCTGAACAAAAGGTCAAAACCCTGAACTGTACAGAGTTACATTCTGATTTTGCAAGACACAAAATGTTTTAAAAGTAGAAAATTAATAGAATGTGTCAGAAAGTGATAAGGAAACATAAAGCAGAGTAAAGAGAGAGATGAGAGTGATCTGTAATTTTATTATTTTGTGTGTGTGTTTTTAAGTAGGCTCCATGCCCAATGTGGAGCTTGAAAGCAAGACCCTGAGATCAAGAGTTGTATGTTCCACTGACAGAGCCAGCCAAGTACCCCAAGAGTGGCTTGTAATTTTAATAAGGTGGTTAGAGTAAGCATCATTGAAAAGGTGAAATTTTAGCAAAGACTTGAAAGAGACAGGTTCTCCTGTGTAGAACCTGGAGTGCCATCGCTTATCATAAAGGTGAATTTGAGCAAGTTATTTTAGTCTCTCTGCCTCAGTTCTCTCATCTGAAAAACAAAGATTATCATATCAACCTCATAAGAGGATTGAGCTAACAGTTGTGAAATTCTTGGAACACATTAAGTACTATAATTTCTGAGATTCTTTTCATTAAAAAAAATGTAAAAGGTAAAGCAACGGGTCATGCAGATATTCAGGGGAAGAGTACGCCCAACAGACGGTAGAGAAAGTATAAAGGCCCTGGTATTCAAGGAGCAGGTAGAGCAGTGTAACTGGAATACATTATTAGGTTTTGCAAAAAGGAAAATGGGAGAAGACGTCATCATAAAGAGAAAGGGGCACCCAAACTTGTAAAACTTTTAGAGATTTTTGAGCACAGAAGTGATCAACTGCTTCTGACTTTTACAAAGATGACTCTGGAAGCTATATTGAGAACTGATGGTTGTGAAAGAGGATCATTATATACTAACTAGGGTGGAAAACCAGGAGGCCAGTCAAGAATCTATTTTAACAACCCAGGGAAGAGATAATGGCTTGGGGCTATTATGGTGACAATGGAAGAGCTGAGAAGTGGTCGGATTCTGATTGTATTTTGAAAGTAGAGCCAACAGAATTTACCAATTTGAAATGAGGAGTCAGGAGTCTCAGGTTTTTGGCCTGAAGAACTGGAAAGATGGAGTGAGCATTAAAATGGACCCTGGTCTTAATTGCTGACAGTGACTGAGTCCTAACTATCTGCCAAGTGTTCAAGTAATCTCCTTACATGCATGATCACATTTAGTCCTCACTACCCATGTGGTATCACCTCTTAACAAGTTTATAAACCTGATTATTACTAAGCTGAGATTCAAAACTAACAGTTGTCTTAAGCACCTGTATTACTTATGTTCAATACGTCATTACAATCACAGGATCTAGCACTTTCAGAAGACAATAAATATTCAGTAAGTATTTATTGAAATAATTAGATTTTCTGAACACAGGTTAATAAGTCAAGTGACCCAAGTTCAGCGCAGAAGTGTCTGGCCTCCTCAGATCTCAAGCTCTGTCTGTGATTGAGAAACAGATCCTGAAAGTCAGGGAAAAAAAATTTTTTTTTTTCAATTCAGAATCACAACTTCAGAGATTAAACAGACTTTTTCACTCCCCTCAGTAGAGGAACAACCAGTACAGGGTGCCTACAAAAGATACGGATAACCAATTTCATACCGTGATCACTCCCTTAACTATGTTTTGTCACTCTCTCCCCCTTGGCCTCTGACTTTCCAGTTCCTAACCCTCTCTCTGGTGCTATTTTTCTCGGCCCTATGTCTACCCTCCCTCAAACAGAACTAGACTACTTCCTGCTGCCTTAAGTTTTCTAGTGTTGCTTCCTCAACTTCTCCACCCTTTTGTTAACGCTGTCTCCTCCACCTGCGCCTCCTCCAGAGGCTGCTGTAGGGGGGTGGAGGGACCCTCTCTCCTGGCCTTAAATCTACACATCGAAAATCCTATCGTACTTCAGATCTCGAAGGAGAAGCAATTCTTTCAAGAAGACTTTATTGCTCCGCCCCCTTGGAAACTTCCCCTATAGACATCGTTTATAACTGCAGCATGATATAACAGAAAGGGAAAGAAAGGTTTTGGAGGCAGAGGGTCCAAGTTCCAATTTTAGATCTACCACTTACTGGCTACCTTCTAAAGTCCATTTTTTCGTCTGTAGGATAGATAAGCATAACTACCCATTTTCATGGAGCTGTTACGAGGCTTAAGTGAAGAAGGTGTACGTGAAATGTTGGTCTCCGTCCCTCCACATTATGCAACCTGGTGTTATTCGCTGTGCTATTACCGAACCTCTCTGGATCGCAAATGAAGGTCAGGGAACCTGAACGACCATCCTTCTACTCCTGTGGCCCCTAAAACATCTATTATGCATCCAGCAGGGCGTCCGTAAACGCGTGCTGCCCTCCACAGATGTGAACCTAGGGCAGGCGCCTGGGCGATAGGTTAGGGAGATGGGTGAGATGGGGGTGGGGGCAGCCCGACAAATCAAGCTTCCAGAGGGCTTCGGTTTCCTCGCTCGCGAAATGAGCTACTGTCGAACTGCTCAGCCCTCTTCCACACAGCCCAATCTCTTGCCCCGACCCACACCCACCGGGGCTCCGATCTTAGGAAGCCTTCCATTTTACTTGTCCTCCGCAACATTCCTCCCACCCCCACCCCCACCCCCACCAACTGTCACCCGGACCGCGCCGCCCACCCCCAAGCCCCACCCGGACAACCCGCCGCGGGCAGTCCCGCAGGCCCGGCCTCAGGGGCCCGCCGCGGCCGCTACTCACGCCCGCCGCGGTAGCGGTGACGGCGGACTGCTCAGGGGCGCGGGCCGAGCGGAGCCGCCTCCGGCCGATCTGCTCCAGGCTGAGGAACTCGTTGGACAGGTCCAAGGGGTCGGTGGCCGAGGAGGCGGAGTGGCTGTGCAGCTCTAGGCTGCTGCGGAGGACCACCATCTTCCCTCTCTCCTCGGAGGGCGTTCGCGGCGGGAGACGGGGTCCAGTCGGCCCGGCAGCCGCACAGGCTCTTCCGCGCTACGAATTCTGGCGCCACAAGCTCCGCGCCAGCGGCCGCAGCGCGCGCACCCGGAATCCCTCCGCCTCCTGTCCCGCCCACGCCCCTTCACTAAAACGGCGGACTCGAAACTTTCCGCCGATCCGCTGGGCGAAAGACTTCGGGCCGAAGTTGAGGAGGACCTGCACCGACAGTGACCTGGACATGAGCGGACGGTGGCGGGAGAATGCTGACTTCTTTTTTTATATAGTGCCGGCTCCCTGAACTCAGCGGAGGGAGACGGCCGGTAGCGGCACGAGGCCCCGTTTGGAATTTTGGCGCGTGGATGTCGAGGGAGGGGGGTAGGGAGGCTCCTCCGGTTCTGATTGGCTGGCAGGGGTCTGGCGGCTCCTCCCAGCCCCGCCGGTCACCTGCCTTCAGCTTCCCGCCACGCAGGATTCAAATGCAAAATGCTGAGTCCTTGACTGGAGCGGGATAAAGCCCTTGGCTTAAACAGGTTTTGACTTTGATCCTTAAGAGCTTTTTACAGATAGCTTAACCAAAACAATTTACCTAGCAAAAGAAAACAGAAAGGGACCTAAAAGCTAGCCTGCAGAGTGCTATAGTTGAGGCCGCAGATTCTCTACCCAGTGCTGCCGCATTCCAGCTATACGCTCTTGAGTAAATTATTCCTTTGTGGGTCTTAATTTTCTCATCTGTAAATTAACTGTAATAGTAATAATAGTAATAAGAATAATAATACCTGTGGATTTAAGATATTCTACTTTAGAACCGTGTTTGCACATAGGAAGAGCTCACTAAATGTTTGCTACCATTAAACAATTACAGAAAATGGCTTCTGTAAGATACAGCAGTTACTTGACTACTTTGAAATAGATAACATGCTGAATGATCAGAATGTGAGAGAGGAGTTCTGGTGAAACTGAAAAAAGCTTTATTGATTTGGATAACTACGTTTCCTTAATTCGACACTTATTAAATATTTATTGACAATCTATTTTGTGCCAGGCAGTATTCTAAACACCGGGGATGCAGCAGTGAATAAAAAGAACAAAAATGCCCTCGTGGAACTTAAATTCTGGTGGAAGGAAAAAGACAAGAAACTAAGTAAATGTTTGTTATTATAAGTGTTGAAAATAAATATAAAGTAGGGAAGGGCAAGGGGAGAGGGAAGCGTACAATTTTTTTTTTCAACGTTTATTTATTTTTGGGACAGATAGAGACAGAGCATGAATGGGCGAGGGGCAGAGAGAGAGGGAGACACAGAATCGGAAACAGGCTCCAGGCTCTGAGCCATCAGCCCAGAGCCTGACACGGGGCTCGAACTCACGGACCGCGAGATCGTGACCTGGCTGAAGTCGGACGCTTAACCGACTGCGCCACCCAGGCGCCCCTGGAAACGTACAATTTTAAACAGGATGATTAAGGAGGGTGTCATGGATAAATGTAAGCAAAGACCTAAAGAAAAGGAGAAGGGAAAGGAGAGGGAGTTAGACACCAAAGAAGAAAGAGCCTTTATGAGTAGATCCTGAAGGGCTGTGGGCCTCAGCTTTAAGATTTTCTCCTTTTTATTACAAGTGACACGTAAAGACATTAGAGCATTTTGAATAGAGGGGTGACCTTTACTGACTTCTTCAAAGAATCCCTCTGGCTGCTACATGGGAAATGCAATCTTTGGATTTATTTAAACTAAAAAAAAAAAATGTTTATCTGAACTTCCGATTTCAACGGGTGTCCTGTATTTTTATTTGCTATATTGGGCAGCCCTCCTTAGGAGGCCACTGCAGTTGTTCAGGCAAGAGATGATGGTCAGACCAGTGTTAGAGCAGTGGAGGTAATTAGTAGTTGAATTCTAGGTGTATTTGAAGTCAAGAGACAAGTGAACTTGCTGATTAATTGGATTTAGGTGTGAGAGAAAGCGAGGCATCAAGGATGACTGTTTTTATTTTTTGCTTGACCTAATGGAAAGAGGACGCTGCACTTAACTGGGATGGAGAAGCAAATTTGGAGGGAATGTCAGGAATTCCTTTTGATGCACGCTTAAGATAGACAAGTTATTATATATTATCTATGTTCTGTACTTAAAATTTGGCCTTTGAAAAAGTTTTCACACATATGCATTATGTTTACCACAGCATTATTTGTAAGGTCGAAAAACTGAAACCGGAAAGGTCCTTCAGTGAAGCCTCACTTAAGGATGCTATACAGGGGCATGTGGGTGGCTCAGTTGGTTAAGCCTCTGGCTGACTCGTGGTTTTGGTTCAGGTCATGATCTCACAGTTCATGAGATGGAACCCCACATAGGGCGCTGTGCTGACAGCAAGGAGCCTGCTTGGGATTCTCTCTCTCCCTCTCTCTCTGCCCTTCTCCTGCTTGTGCTGTCTCTATCTGTCTGAAAAATAAGTAAACACTAAAAAAAAAAAAAAAAAAAAAAAAAAAAAAAAAAGGATGCTATGCAGTCATTAAAATTATGTAACTCTGTTAATTTAATTCTATAAAAAGTTGGGCACAGTGCATTATAGCTTGCTAAGAAACTACAAAGAAGCATCATACGGTTCCATCTTTAAGAAAGTATGTGCGTGGGGGGTGGGGGTGCCTGGCTGGTTCAGTCGGAACATGCAACTCTTTATTTTTTTTTTAATTTTTTAATGTTTATTTATTTTTGAGAGAGAGAAAGAGACAGAGCATGGGCGGGGGAGAAGCAGAGAGAGAGGGAGACACAGAATCCGAAACAGGCTCCAGACTGCGCTGTCAGCACAGAGCCTGACTCAAGGCTCGAACTCACAAACCACGAGATCATGACCTGAGCCGAAGCCAGATGCTCAACCGACTGAGCCACCTGGAACATGCAACTCTTGACCTTCGGGCCCCATGTTGGGTATGGAGATTACTTAAAAATAAAATCTTAAAATGTGTGTGTGTGTTCGCATTGGAATAAAAACCAGAATAAACTATAACAAAATGTTAATGGTTAATTTCTGGATGGTAATACTATGGTTGTTGTATAGTTTGCACTTTTCTCAATTTTTCTGATTTTGCAGTAAATATGTGTCACTTTTATAATAGAAAAAACGTTTTAAAGTGATTGTTTACCCAATATAAATGGAAGAGAAAAGAATATTTAGAGTAGCATAGTCTATCCTTATGTGCACTTTTCTTTATGCATGTTATACCTCAATAAAAATTTATAAAAAGAACTTCCACCCAAGAGGCATATATGCATTTGTGATTGTGTTAGATATCATCAGATTGACCTCCACAGAAATTCTAGCAGTCATTTTAGTTCTTTTAAAATAAGTAAAGGGGCACTTGGGTGGGTCAGTCCATTAAGTGTCTGACTCTTGATTTCAACTCAGGACATGATCTCACAGTTTGTGAGTTTGGGCCTCTCATTGAGCTCTCTGTGCTGACAGTGCAAAGCCTGCTTGAGATTCTGTTTCCCTCTTTCTCTGCCCCTCCCCTGCTCTCTCTCAAAAATAAACATTTAAAAGATTTATAATAAAATAAGGCATAGAAATTTAGAACACCAAGAGATAGAGACAGCTAAAGGTTTTTCTCTGTTCCTTTATTCTCTCTCCAGCAATATTAAGAATAACCACACTTGCTTCAGCCTTTGGCTGGTGTAGTCAGTTGAACTGTGTACCCCAAAAGGATATGTCCAAGCCCTAAACTCCAACACCTGTAAATGTGACCTTATATGGAAGTAAGGTCTTTGCAGATGTAATTAAGGACTTTGAAATGAGATCATCCTGGTTTATGGTAGACCCTAAACACAGTGACTGGTATCCATTGTGAGAGAAAGGAGAGGGGTGTTTGACACATAAACACACACATGGAAGAAGAGAATGTGAAGATAGAGATAGAAATTGGAATGATGCATCTCTAAGCCAATGAATGCTAAAGATTTCCAGCAACCACCAGAAGCTAGGAGAGTGATACAGAACAGATTCTCCCCCAGAGCCTCCAGAAGGAACCAACCTTTCTGACACCTTGATATCAGGCTTCTGGCCTGAGAATTAATTTCTGGGTTTTCTTTTTTTTAATGTTTTACTTATTTTTGAGACAGAGAGAGAGAGAGAGTATGAGTTGGGGAGGGGCAGAGAGAGGGAGATACAGAATCCGAAGCAGAGCTCTAGGCTCTGAGCTGTCAAAACAGAGCCCAATGCGGGTCTCAAACTCCTGAACTGCAAGGTCATGCCCTGAGCTGAAGTCAGACACTTAACTGACTGAGCCACCCAGGTGCCCCTCTTTCCTTTCTCTTTTTAAAGCCACTTAGTTTGTAGTAATTTGTTACAGCAGCCTTAGAAAACTTATGGGTTGGTCTGGAATTGGTCTTTGGCAGTTGATATTTCTTTCCTTTTAATTTTAGCTATTGTAGAAAGGAATTACTTGATTTAGGAAAAAAGGGGCAGTGGAAACATGTTCTTTCCCACAGCCCCAGACTGCTTACAGAGGATCAAGTGTTTTTACCTCACATGTGAAAGAAAAGAGGGCTGAGGTAAGAGCTAAGCATAATTCCATTCCCTCATTTTCAAATGAGGTTATAGGTGGGTCCCTTTCTGTTCTTTGGTAACAAAGTTAGAAAGTAAACACCAACTTGGACAGGGATTTCTTTCAGGAATGTTGTAAATGTGACCTTACCTAATTCAATCGCTAATCTCATTGATTTCTATTAAAAGAAAAAAACATTAATCGCCTAGAAGCGTGTGGGGGGGTCATAGTTGCCATTTGCCATTTTTTAACTACTCTGAATTTAAACAGACACATCCACATCTATTTCAGAGATTTTGAGTGGGTCTGGGTTAGTTAGGGTCCCACCTCCTTTTATGGAAATCCTACGGGGACAGATACTTCATTTCCCTGTTAACCTGGCAGCTAGGACTCAGGCATGTGACCTCAGCTCAGTCAATGGACGGCTCCCACCTCAAACCTTCATTGCCTC